GTGTAGTGTGACGTTTTCTGAAGCCTGAGTTATGGCTGAAAGCTTCCCCACATTCAACACATTAATACATTTCTCCCCTGTAGAAGCTTCCTGATGTCTTCTGAGGAATGATCTGTAGGTGAAGGCTCGGCCATGCTCTCTACATCCATACAGCTTCTCCCTTGGGTGAGTTCCTTGCAGCAACTGTAAGCCAGTTTTCTCGCTAAAAGCTTTCTCACATTCATCATATTTAGAGTTTCTCCCTTTTATGAATCTCCTGATGTCCTCTGAGGTGAAGGCTCTGTCACACTCATTACACTTGAAGGGTTTTTCCCATGTGAGTTCTCTGATGTATTCGTAAGCCAGATTTCTCACTAAAAGCTTTCCCACACTCATCGCATTCGTACGGCCTTTCCCCTGTGTGAGTTCTCTGGTGTATTCGTAAGCCAGATTTCTCACTAAAAGCTTTCCCACACTCATCACATTCATATGGCTTCTCCCCTGTGTGAGTTCTCCAGTGCTTTCCTAAGCTTGACTGATGACTGAATGCCTTCCCACATGTATAACATTTGTATGGCTTCACCCCTGTGTGAGTTCTCTGGTGTTTTCCTAGGCTTGACTTCTGACTGAACGCCTTCCCACATGTGTGGCTTCTGCCCTGTGTGAGTTCTCCGGTGTATTCTTAGGCTTGACTTCCGGTTGAAGGTCTTCCCACACTCCTTACATTCATAGGGCTTCTCCACTGTGTGAATTGTCTGATGTGTTCTGAGGGTTGAATTCTGAGCAAAGGTTTTCCCCCATCTGTTACATTTATAAGGCTTCTCCCCTTTGTGAATTGTCTGATAGGTTGTGAGCGTTGACTTCTGCACAAAAGTTTTTCCACATTCACTACACTCATAGGGTCTCTCCCCTGTGTGAATTCTCTGATGGACTCTCAGGCCTGACTTACAGCTGAAAGCTTTCCCCCATTCCACACATTCGTATGGTCTCTCCCCTGTGTGAGTTCTCTGATGTTTCTGTAGGCTTGACTTGTGACTGAAATCTTTCCCACAGTCATTACACCTGTAAGGTTTCTCCCCTGTGTGAATTCTCTGGTGCATGAGGAGGTACGGTTTCTTACAGAAAGATTTCCCACATCCGTGACACTCATAAGGTCCTCTGACATACACTGAAGCCTGACTGGGGGCAGAGGATTCCCCTACATTTGTTATAATCGTCCAATTTCTCTGTTGTGTGAGCTGAATTATGGCTGAAGTTTCGTCCACATTCAGTGGGTGCCACCTCTGCCTGATTTCTCTGGTTTGCTCTTAAGTGTGACCTCTGGCTGAAACTTTCCCCTCCTGTGTCAGTTCTCTGAAAACGAGTAAATAAAACTTGCCACAAATGTCTGTTTTGGATTCCTTGGCTCTTCTCTAAGAGGGTATCATGTTGGCAGTCTTCTAAAAATGAGAAAATTAAAAATACCTTATGAATCTTAAGACACATTCCTCACGGGAGGGAGCCTATATACATACAGTCTATTATGTACTTGACTCTGGTTCTAGTCCAGTCACACAAGATTAAGTAATTTGAAGTATGTATTTCCTATATTGCTTTCATTTGAAAATAAATTGGCCGGAGTGGGAAATATTGGAAAACAATCTGGCAATGAATATAGATGTATATATGACATTTAAAAATATGATTTTCAAAACTACATGGAAGAGAAGTGCAGGAAAGAAACTATGGACACACAAGAATAGTTGAGTTCGGGAATTCAACAGATCGAAGAATAAATTCCATTCAGCAAAGCTTATGGACAGGAAGTATGGACAAGGAGTACTGTGAGGAAGGCTTTCAAGGGATACGTACGAGACAGGGTGGACCAGGGACCCTGTATTACACTGCCAGATACAGATTACGGGGTAGGAAACTCATTAGCCTCCATGCTTCTACTGGGAGCTTTCTTTCTTCCCCCTATTTATACATTAACACCAAAGTACACAAATAATAGCACAATTTCCTTCCAATTATCAAAAAACAGGTCTCTACCCCAAACTCAAACTCCCCTGGTTGCTATTCACAGGAAGACAAACATATAAGGAAGGAGGAGTATAAAACCACTGAGAAGAAAAGCCATCTCTCAGCCTGGAGTGAATTTCCTGCCCTATGCTGGCTCTGGTGACTTGGTACATGGTATCAGGGTTATTCAAATAACGATACTCTCCTGACCATCAAAGTATAAGCTTTCTTTCAATGTGCTTGAAACAAGCCCATCTAAGAGTCATCTATAAGTCAGCATTCCATCAATGTTTCAACATACATAGTTTCTACTGGTTTCTGGAACCTTCAGGATTATGTTTCACCTTGTTTCTAGACTTCAGACATTCTTTATGTTCATTTATCATAAAAGACTTTACTTTTATCCACGGTATGCTTGACTCCTATTACTCAGCTGTTACCCACAACAGTTCCAGCAACAGTTCCAGCAACAATTTCAGGCCTATACTGAAAATCTAAGATGGTCCTAAAACCACTGCCCCAGGCTCCATCAGACAAGAGTCAGGAGACATTCTGGAAGACAAAGTTTTGCACCAAATCAGGAATGTCGCTGTTCAAGCTAGTATTATGGAAGTCCACACTATTTTCCGTGTGTAGTCTGGCTAGGCTATTTGACACCCTTACAAGAACTCATTCCAGCAAAAATCTTGCCTCGCATTATTTCTCTAAGTTACCATGCACTTCTGTTTTTACCTCAAACTCAAAATATCCAAAAAAAAAAGACTATTTAAAAAAAAAAAAAAAAAAAAAAAAAAAAAAAACCTTCTTACATCACTCCATGAATTTAAACACCATTTGCTTTAAATCTGAAAGCAATTAAATTTACTCCACTGATATGAACAATAGACACATGAAGAGCGGTTATATATACTGGGACACAATTTTTTTAAAGTAAATTACTATCACTGCAATCACAATGCAGCTCAAAACTGACGACACCTGTCCATATCTTGACCATATCTAAAATAACATTTTATCTTTTAACTGATGGTATTTTAAATGCTATGAAATTCATTTTTGCAGCTCTGCTTTCCTTTATCCAAAACAAAACCCTGATGCTCTGATTTTTCCTTGCACTCCTCTGTGATACAGAGGGTCCTTGAAACACAATGTGCCTGGAGCTCCCTAGACCGCTTAGTGACCCATCAGCTCAGGTGTAGTGCCAGTGTAGACCTCATGATTCACAAGTCACAGAAATGTGGCCGGGGCATTTGCATTTAATATGAAGTATCTTTCGCCTAAACAGCTTTAGGGTCAATCACAGTGTAGTGATAAAATGTCACATATTACATTCCAGAATAGGGAAGGGTAAAAGAGATTATTATTTTTGGTAGAACACACACACACACACACACACACACAGAGTATGTATTTATATTTAGTTTTCAGTATACCCAAATATTATGAATATATTTTCTATATGCAAATTTTTGGAATGTGCTTCTTCATGCCAGGTTTCTTAGAATGATCCACATCACACACTACAGCTATATAATGATCCATTGTTTGAATATATCTTTAAGTTTACTCATAAACATGGAAGTTATTTCTAGATTTGTACTTATACCTTCAAACTTTTCCCAGTATTTGTGCCAATTTACACCACTGCCTGCCTTGTGGACGTTTCTCTTGCATTACCTAATTATTCTTACTACTAGTGGAATAAGTCCAAAATCATTGTACTGTGGTCTGAAGGTGCATTCCTGAGATTGCCAATGTTACATATTTTTCATGTTTATTAGCCATTTTTATACCCTCGTTGTCCTTTATTTCTAATGAATTGACTTTATATTTGCAATTCTTGGAAGTTCAATAAGGTAAACCTATTTGAATGCCAAATTACATACCAAGAGATGAGGCACCGAGCACAACAATAAAAAAAACACTGCTTCTCAGAAAGCATATGTTCCAGTAGAAAAAGGGAGACAGTGAACAAAGCATAATGCATATTGATATATAGTGTTAGACAATGACGGTTTTGAAGGGAAAAACATCCAAAAATGATCCTAGCAGGCACTTTGTTTTGGCACAGTGATTTACTATTTTTCAATATCAAACTTTCCAAATATCGAATATCAAGCTATCCTTCAGGTCTATCTCTGATAAAATCTGATAATATATTCTCACAGTCATTGGCTTTAACCCATTTTCATTAGTTGCTAAGGCAGCTAGTTTTCTATTACTTCATGTTGTACTGCGTGCTTAACAAAGCTTTATAAAAAATGTACTCAGTAATAGGCATGTTTGTTTTGTGAAGCGAGTTTTTCTTCTAATAAGCAAGAAGGGTGTATTTTGCCCCTCACAGTCATCTTTATAATCTAAAGTAATTCCTTAACCATCTACCTCTTAAGTCAGTATTTAGCAATTCCCTAATACAAAATCAATATTAAGTTACTTCTCTCTTCCCATTCATTAACCTCCAGTTTTATATGCTTTTCTAATATTTCTTAGTTTTTATCTTTTTTTAACTGTTCCATAGAACTCTATTACTTGATTTTTCAATTAAAATTTTTTTTAAATGTTGATTTATTTTTGAGACAGAGAAGGGAGACAGAGCATGAGCAGGGGAGGGGCAGAGACAGAGAGAGAGAGAGAGAGAGAGACACAGATTCCAAAGCAGGCTCTAGGCTCTGAGCTGTCAGCAAAGAGCCTGATCCAGGGCTCGAACTCATCAACCAGGAGATCATGACCTGAGCCGAAACTGGATGCTTAACTGACAGAGTCACTCAGATGCCGCAATTTTAAATAATCTATACTCAGGCTCCCAGCTTTTAAAGATGAGAAAATGATCTTCATTGCATCCACCCCTTGTCTTAGACCTTCTCTTCTCATATGCTGAATATAATACATTCTTCCAAAACACCCACATACGTAGGGGCTCTATAAGAAAGTGTTGAAATTATTTCACAGGAGACATCACTCACTGACCACTCTGAGTCTAATTTACCCTGAACACTTTCTACTCGTACTTGACAACTCACCTGAAGATCTCCTGGTTAGAAATGCTTTCTCTAATGAGCATGGGTCTTCTGCTTGCTCCAACCTTAAGATCATTTCTGGTTTTGTATAGCAATATCCTGTAAATGGGAAACAATTTAAGACTTGGGCCTGCTGCATGGGCTTCTAGGAGACACATTTTCAGGGATGGCACAACAAAGATGCTCATTTGAAGCTTTCTTTGCAGAGCTGACAACAAAAATGTTTTTCTTTTTTTTCCGATACTCAAAAAGTATGAATCTCCTTGAGCTAAATCACAGCATACATACTACTGAACTTAACTGGGATCTACTACATGGGGCTTCCACTTCTCGCCATGATGGAACAGCATCAGATGACAGGCACTGCAGGCTAACGATCCCAGAAAAAGAAGAAAGAACGGAGTTTCAGATCAGTATACGGCACACCAAAACAGAACGCAGAGGCCTCCGTAAGTTGAGGAGACAGAACCAGAAATTCAGAGGCCAACGCAACTACCATTTGTGGTGTAATATACTGGAGACAGAACTGACTGGAAGAGACCGTGAGTTTATGAGTCTTGAGTCTTTGGCTGAAGATGGTACATGCAGGGCAACTACCTGCGGCTACAAAAAGAACCACATTAAAACAGTAGATTGAACAACGTCTGAAGTACATGGGGAGATGAGAAGTTTGTAAATAGGAGAGGATGTACTACTGCACAGGCAACTAGGTACTCTGCCCTTGGAAGTGTATGCTGTCTTAATAGTGGGCTAGAAAGTATTCTGAAGTTTGTTTTAAAAAAAAAAAGTCTTGGAAGTATCAAACTACATGGAAGGAATGTATGGAATCTGAGAAAAAATGTCCCGAAATTTAAAAAATACAAAAAAAAACCCCTAGCACCCACAATATAGGAGTAGAACCCTGAAAAGAACAGGCAAATACAGTTATGGTTGGATACGACACTTTGTTCTCAATCATAACCATACAAGAAAATGAAAACATAATGATGTAGATATAGAAGACTTGTAGCAGTAACAGCCACATGAGTTCATTCTCACCTATAGAACACTAGGTCCAAAAACAAGAAAATATATCTTTTCATGTACACCTGGAACAGTGACCAGGATTATATATGGGTAACAGAAGTCTCCAGAAACTAAGAAGGACTGACAATGTTTTCCAAACAAGAACAATTAAATTAAAAATCTATTAACATGTTGACTGCTGGTCTCTGGTCCAACATGTAAGGAATTTAGAACTTGCCATTCCATCCTAACAACAAGTGAAAGCTAAATGAACTGAAAAATTAATGAAACTTCTTAGATCTATCACAGAAATCAGGTCACGGGGCAAACCAAGGGGGCAAACACTGGAGACACGCAGAAACACAGATTCAGAATCTCCCAGAGCAGAAACCTGCATGGGAGCTAAGGCCAGGTTTGAAAGTCTGAACAGTAACTGACAAACGGTGAGAGGCTCAGTGTGGATCAGTCTGAGAACGATATGGCAGGGACAGGACAGGGGGGTGGGGTTCCTGCTTTTGTGAGTTTTGCCCGCAGAAGCCCTACAAAGTGTTTACGGTGAAAATCAGAGAAAATTCTTCTCATGCTCCCAGCACAGGGAAGGGAAAAGAAACCGTTGGACATATGCCAGAGCATTCTATTCTTAACGAAGCCTGCCCTTAGAGGAACCTATTTACCTAGAGCCCAACCTGCTGGGGGTTTGTCAGAGCCTAACCAAACTGGGAGAAAGGGAATTCTTCACTCTAGTTCTCTCTAGTCTTCTGCATAGGCTTCCGTGTGCCACTGGGCCAGGCTCCAAGCTCCACGAAGTCAGATGCTCCTTTGTTTGGGGCCTCACCCTATGTATCTCTTCATCTCACAGTTGATTCACATCTTTTTGTCATATCCTTTAGTAAACTGGGAAACCGAAGTGCTATCCTGAGTTCTGTGAGCTGCTGGAGCAAATTAATTAAACCTAAGGAGGAGCTCTTTGGAACCCCCAATCTGTAGCGGTTGGTCAGAAGCACAGGTAACAGCCTAGAGCTTGTGACTGGCATGTAAAGTGAGAAGTGGGGTCAGTCTTACAGGCCTGAATCCTTAACCTGTGGAATTAACCAATGCTATCTCTAGGAAGACTGCATCAGAATTTATTTAAATTCTCAGACACTCTGAAGACGCCAGAGAACTGCTTGGTACTGCGTGTGAGGGAAGCCCCCCACACTGCAATTGGATCTGCACACCCTAAAAGAAGTCTTTCTAGCCATCCCGTTCCACCTTAACTAGCTCTTCACACACCTTAAAAAACTCAGAAGTGCCCGTGAAGTTCAGGGTCTGGGCCCACAAAAAGACTGATCTAATTACAGGACTACTTAACATTTCTCTTGTCCTACACCTCACCACTAAATTACTAAAGGCCTATGGCCTCAGATTCTTTTACCTAGCACATCATATCCACCTTATGACAAAAAATTATAAGAGACGCCAAGAGGCAAGAAATACAGTTTGAAGAGGTGGAACAAACACCAGAATCCGAGTTAGATATGGTAAGAATGCTGGAGTTATCAGACCAGGATTTTTAAAAAAACTCTGATGAATATGTTATAGGCTTTATTAGAAAATTAGATGACAGACAAGAACAAATGGGTAACGAAGTCAAGAGTTAGAAAGTCTAAGAGGCAACAAGAAATGCTAGAGGGGAAGAGAAAACACTAACAAGTGAGGAATGCCTTTGACGAGCACATTAGGAGACTGTACATGGCTGAGGGAAGAGTCACTGAGCTTGAGAACCTGACACTGAAATCTTCAAAAGTGAAAAACAAAGAGGAAAAAAAAGACTGAAAAACAATGAACAGAAAACCCAAGAATGGTGGGGCAACCACAAAAGGGTAACATGCGTGTAATGGAAACACTAGGAAGAGAAGAAAGAGAGGGGAACAGAGCAGTGTTTGAAGCAGTAACAACTGCAGCTTTCTAACTGGTACCAGACATGAAACCACAGATCTGGGAAGTGCACAGCACACCAAGCATGACAAATGCAAACAACAAGACCACACTTAGGAATGTTCTTTCAGAACTTCAGAGTACCAAAAATGAAGAAGAAATCTTGAAAGAAGCCAGAGGAAAAAAACTCTTAGCTACAGATGAGCAAAGATAAGAATTATATCCAATTTTTTCTTTTCTCAGAAACCATGTAGTAAGGAGAGTGAGATGAAATATCTAGAGTGTTGGGAGAAAAAAACCTCCACCAATGTTGAATTCTGTACCATGAAAATTATCCTTCAAAAGTGAAGAAGAAATACTTTCTCAGAAAAACAAAAACTGACAGAAACTGTTAGTAGACCTGCCTTGCAAGAAGTGTTAAAATTAGTTCTTCAGATAAAAGGAAAATGGTACAGGTTAAACTCAGATCTACACAAAGAAAGAAAGGATCCTGGAGAATGAATAAGTGAAGGTAGAATAAAAGCTCTTATTTTTCTTACTCTGAATTGACCCAACAGAAAAAGTCTGCTCTAAATGATAACATATCCTATTATCTATACCTGTATACATACAAGTAGAATTAGTGACAGTCCTGTTAAAAGGAATGTAAGAAAGAAACTGGGAATATTCTATTAAGGTATCCATACCACCTGAGAAACTGCAGAATGTTACTTGAAGCAGACTTAGGCTACTTGGGGAGACAAAAATAGAAACAAAGGTGGAGGGCAAAAAAATAGAAAACAGTAACAAATATGGCAGGTATTAATCCAACTACATAAAAAATCAGTTTGAATGTCAATGGTCTAAATATACCAACTAAAAGACAGAGACTGTCAAGGTGAATCAAAAAACAAGACCCAAGCACACGTTGTCTTCAAGAAACCCACTTTATTTTTTTGAAGAAACCCACTTTCAATACATAAGACACATGGAGATTAAGAGTACAGAGATGAATAAAAAATTCACTAAACTAACATTAATTTAAAAAGGGAGGAGCAGTTATATTAACTTTCAGAATGAGGAAATGTATCAAGGATAATAAATCAGGGGATTACATAACAATGAAGGAGTCTAAAAGATTTAACGACCTACTGTGGAGGCACCTAAGGACTGAACGACTGAAAGTCAAAGTATGTGAGACAAGCGCTGATGGAACTGCAGTGAGAATCACACGGAACCATGATCTATGTATTACAGTTGGGGACTTCAACACCCCTCTGTCACAAATGGATGAATCACCAGGCAGAAAACCATCAGGGACACAGCTGAGTCCAAGAGCACCATAAATCCACTGGATATAAACTACATCTACAGATTTCCTCATTCAACAACAGCAAATTACACATTCTTCTCAAGCTCAGAGGGAAAAATCTCCAAGACAAACCACACTCTGGGCAATAAATCACACGTTAACAAATATTTAAGAAAACAGAAATCATACAACGTATGCTCTCCAACCATAATGGAATTAAACTAGAATTCAACAAAAAAGTGGGAAAAAAACCCAAACCACTTGGAGATTAAACAATACACTTAAAAAAAAATTTTTTTTTAATGTTTATTTTTGAGAGAGACAGAGTGAGAGCAGGGGAGGGGCAGAGAGAGAGAGAGGAAGACACAGAATCTGAAGCAGGCTGTCAGCACAGAACCTGACATGGGGCTTGAACCCACAAACTCTTAGATCATGATCTGAGCTGAAGTCAGACGCTTAACCCACTGAGTCACCCAGGTGCCTCTACAAAGAACTCTTAAAACTCAACAGTAAGAAAACAATGCACCCTATTACAAAATGGGCAAAAGACCTTAACAGACCTCACCAAAAAGATATACAAATAGCACATAAGCATATGAAATGATGTTCAATATCCTATGCCATTAGAAAGTTCCAATTAAAAGAACAATGAGATCACTACTACCCACCTATCGGAAAGGCCAGAATCTAAACCAATGGCAACACCAAATGGTGGTTTGGAATTGGAGCAGCAAGAACTTTCACATACTGCTGGTGGGAATGCAAAGAAAATATGAGGTTCTTCTATGGTAAAAACTAACAGAAACTAAGCACCAAATGATAGTAAATATACGCCAATTCTTCTAGAAGACAGAAGAGGGAAGCTTTATCCCACTAAGAGAAAAAA